TTTACGAAGCCACGCTGAGTAGCGAGAGGCGCCTTTGCGGCAGCGCCGTTCCTGTAGACTCGACGCTGTCGTGCTCGACCCGTGCGTTGCAGAAGGATAGCGAGGGGGAAAACTGCCCGCCGACTTGAACATACCGACGTGCGGATGGACCGTGATTGCCGTGTTTGTTTTAGAGCCCCAAGAGCAGCAGGCTGGGTGGTTCTGCATGCAGAGCTCTACAAGAAGACAGCATAAATCTTCTACGTGGTAGAATCTGGTCTGGTTAAAAGGGTCAGTCGCGCCCGACGGAGGTGTCGAACAGGAGTCAAACTGAGCCCTTGTATCACAGACAGCTTCAGTTTCTAAGTGAAGCAGCATTTATAATGCTGCTAAAATACAGCGGTAAACAAGGTATATGAAGGCTTGACAGTCACATTAGCGAGGAGCTACGGTGAAATGACTGGGAAGAAGGAAAAAACAGCTCTGGCTATTTGCAGAGCAAGAAAAATGGAACTGGTTTTGACAGATAAGACAATGCAGCAGTGGGTCAGAAGAGCTTTGTCTGTCTTTTTTTGTCGCTGCAGATGAAAAATGGTGCCTTCAAATTTTAACCGGAGAAATTTGGATTGTAACGAGCCTCCGTCTCTCCGAGTCTCCCAATTAGGGGAAGCATTTTTACAGCTAAACTCAAAATAATAAATTTTATTCGGTGGGTATGAATCAGGGCAATCTGGATCGTTCGGGGTAGCTGCAATGTGGTTTTCATATTGCATAATGACAGAGGTGATTTTTTCAAAGCATATAACACGAGTAGAAGCAACTGCTCTACAAATCATTTACAACTAATGAATTTCCTAGGGTTGCAAATTGTCCATGGGCAGGATAGTATTTTACTGGAATTACTGTGGCAACACCCAAAATTGCTGGGCAGACATGTTACAGGAGTAACGACCTTGCCCTTTTGCCTGCAAAAATCGAAGTAGTTGGCTGGACTGTTGTATTACTTATAACCCTTTTGTTCCTCAAATATTCAGACTGATCTTAGGGCCGGGATTTCCCACTTAGTTGTAAGGCTTCTAAAATTGGGGAATTTTTAAGATTTACGTTACCTCGGTGTTGCCCGATTGCACCGACAGAACTCATGTATGCATGAAGTCTGTTTTTCTGTTCGTCTTAAAGCTAGTCTACGACCTTGTAACAAGCTAGGGACTCCTAGCAGCAATCCAGGTTCCCGATTCCAGCCAGGTCTCCCAGGCTCCCTCAACAGTAAAGGGAAATCAACTCCCTTAAGGCGGGCAGCTCAGAGCAGAGACCCAGTTCAGGTGCCTTCCAGGAACGATTCGTCGATTCTGGGGACGCTACGTTGGGATTTTGCTTTGAATTACCCAGGAGGGGAACCTGCCTCTCTCTCCTGATTACAGAGGCGCTCTTCAGTGCACAGCGAAGCCTTGCCGACGATCAGGGGAAAGAATGAGTTTCGTGGATTGCTCTGTGTTACAGCTTCTAAGCCTGCCATAGTTGCCGGCTTTTATCTCTTGAAATAGATGTGAACCTCTTGCAAAGGGAGGAGGAGGAGGAGGAAGGTTACACTTTTTACTTATTAGGGTTTATCAGGGGTGTGGAGAATAGACGTCTGACCTCTGCACTCAGACATTTTTAAAATTGATACTAATGTACCAACAACCACCACATCTTTACGTTAGTCTCGTGAATCGCGTACGAATCTGGAACCGCGTTTCTCCAGAGAAAGAACAGCGTATTAGCCGTAGCCGCGTGGAACTAATGACAGATTGCGACTGTCGAGGAGAAAAAAAGATGAAATAACGGTACAGAGATTTCTGCCTTCCCGGTATATAGTTGTTTTACGTCTTTCAAAAGACTGGGAGCGATCCTCGCTCGCGCCAGAAGCCTGTCGTCGCTTAGCGCTAGGCTGGTTGTGTAACCAGCCTGCAAAGGGCTCCGGCGACGAGCTCCGCCAGCAGCGCGGCTGCAAATGCTAATTGAAACGGAAAGCGGTGTCTCCCGGGCTCCCTCCCTCTCCGTAACGCTGGCTGCTGCTCGGAGACCCAAAATACCTCGCTTGCTTGCGCTCTAACCTGAAGCAATCAAAACAAGGGGGCGAGGGGAGGCCTCTACAGGAAATTGGTTCTCAAGGCGGTTCTAGTATCGGTCGAGTTCTGCCGTTTATGTGAAACGGGCTCATTTCTGTGCGGCACTCTGTTTTACCGCGGAGCGGGGAAGAAGCTTTTTGGATGATGCCCTTTCCACGTGCATGGCAGTACAGTGAATGCTCCTCTCCCCCACCCACAATAACAGCGACAGAAGAAACAAAGATTTGTATTAACCGAGTTTGAAAGTCTTCCCAAAAATTGGACGATGTAAGGCGCGAGCCTCCTCCGAAGGTTTGCAGTGGTGCTTGGCATTGTTAAGGTTTAAAATGTCTCCGGCCTTGTTTGTCCCTGAACGTTGTTTCCCACTATCATTTTCTTGCTGACAATATCAAACAATCAACATACGCTATAAAAAAAACCCCAATACGGCCATAATCCCCTCCTGGAAGGGATGGGGAATCAGCTATTCAGACTTGGAAAGACGGTGAAACTGCAGAACACACGTTAGTGCTTTTCTGACAATGCTGATGACCCTAAACCTCTCGAAACGTAATTTTGCGAATTTGCTGCTGCTCTCGTTACTCTTTCCAACTTCTCTCTAGGGCTGCCCACCCCGAGAGGCGAACCCGTAGCTTTTGGTATCGAGGACCCTCGACGCCTTCTGCTTTCGTCCCTGCAACGGCGGGTCCAATTAGCGCATGCGCGCACGCGTACGCCCAAGATGTCCCGTCTTTAATTAGGCTCTGTCTTCACCTAGTGCCATGCCAATAATCCTTTGTACCAGTCAGCTGCATGAGAGCTTTCTGAAATTGAAAGCGAGAAACCTCTGGGCAGTGTGGTGAAGCCCGGCTAGTTAATGGGAGATCTTGGGATAGGGCGCGTTTAGGAGCTGACAACAGCGGAGCGCGTAGCTATCTCTAGCTGTTAGAGAAACCGGGAGCTAAGACGTAACCTGTCATCTCGTATCTGCTTTATTTGGTTAATAGATGGTGTTTTGGAGGAGGCAAAGTCGGACTCGGAGGCATCAACCGCCAGCGAGAGCGCGTTGGTGTTTAGCAGGGATCCCAAATTCCTACATCAGACGTTTGAGTGTCTTGGTGGGAAAGGCTGCAGGCGACGCTCGTGGCGGGACGGTTGGCGTTCCAAAATTTTGCTTTTCGTAGAGCTGCTTCCTCTAGCAGTGTAGCACAACCCAAATTTCAGCGTATCTTCCTTGATTAATTAGTGCTTTCATAGTCGCCCAAATTTCATGTTGATTTTGCTAGAGGAAGTCAGGCAGGGATTTTGAACATACCTCCTCAGTCTTGTACTTGACAAGCTCCTGGCGTTATGCGCACGCTCCCGCGATGGGGTGACCTGGGTTTATTGTTTGTGTAAGCGAAAAAGAGCCACGGGCGAGCGCCGGGAAAGCTTTGGCCTGTCAGTGCATAAGAAACCTCAGGAGAAAACCACGCTCGCTCTCCCGAATTCCCCGGAGAAGCGTCAGGGATTTGACATGCCCACAAAGGGGCCAGCTCAGGCATTCGCTCATACGCGGAGTTCGCAGTCACAGATGTTTACAGGCATTTTGATTGTTTGTACGGGCAGATGATTTACACCGGCGCAGAAGAGGTGGAGCTGGTGATACGACGATCCACCGAAGGGTTTCTGCAGTAGGAGCAAGAGCTATCAAAATGATGGGTGACATCTCCATCACTGTAAAGTCATCCATCGCGCTTTCCCCCACGCTCGCTAAGTGGCTGATTGAGCTTTCCGGTTGCTATTTTTTGTTAGTTTCCTTATTTGCCGGGTCCTCGTTTTAGCATTTCGATGCTTGGTAGGGCCAGAGGTAGCGCGCTGGAAGTTGCTTGCGAGAATAGCATCGGCAAGATAGCGAGCACAGAGGAGACTAAAATCTCTGTGACGATGTATTGGCTTGTAGATAAGATTAGAAGGAAAACTGGCTGAAAACCTCAATTTATGGAAAAAATAACCGTAGCGCGCTGAAGTGCATTAGAAAAACCCACTCTAGACTTCCACGGAAAGGGGAAGGGGGTGTTTGTTGGGACTGTGAACGTTTAGTCTCTGTTGCTGAAGAGGTAAATTATTTCAGCTTGAGAGTAAACTGTTTTTGAGATGTCTCGGTCCTTGCTACGCTTTGGTGTCTCATAATAACCACCCAAATGTCTGGATAGCTTAGCAACGAATAGCTTGACATCCTGTAGTTCAACCTATCACAGGATAGGTGCACCAGGCTTTATAGCGGCCACGGAAGCAGAGAAGTAGCGTGATGGAAATTAACTAAAAATTGGCTTCTCGGCACTCTAAACGGCAGAATATAAGGAGAACCGTGCACGAAACAGCAAACACACCTTTTTTTTTTTTCCCCCTATTTCAAATTTGTTAGGAGATTGAATCTAAGCTCCCAGACAAGCCTGAGGCAGAAGAGAGAAAAGCGTTGAGTTAGAATGATAAAATGCATTTTCCTAAATTCAAATTCTAGTTTGTGCCTGACTACCCGGTATATTTGAACTCTCGCTGTATCTATTTTTATTCTGCTAGCTAGAGAAACTTTATAAGTGCGATTAGGTCCCCATCGTATATTGCATTTTATGAGCAGAAGGGATTCCTTAAAAATGATGAGAAAAGAATGGCAGGGAGGAAGAAACGCACGCTATGATGTGTTTTTAACAATCTCGGTTAGAAAAGCGAGCAGATCGCTACAAATATTCAAGCAATTATTTTCAAACCACTTTCCTCCCCCTCTGTCCTCTGCCCTTTTCTCTAAGGGCTGCCGCTATAGAGCAGCAGAGTCTATAAAGGTAAAGGCATGCCACAAGAAAAAGCAAACAAACAGGCATACGGAGTCTGAGAATTATACATTAATTGCGTAAAGTATTGATTTTTCTCTTTCTGGGGCTTGTCTTATAGGTTTGCATTTTGAGAAAACTTCTGTGGAGCCTATGAAAGCTGACCTTGCATGTGAAGCGGCAGACGTTTCAAATAAGGATGGTATGTTGTTCTAATATTTCAATTGCCCTGACGTGGACGCGTAGCACGCCTTTCTGGGGTTTGTTTGTACAGGGCTTATATTTATATCCCTTCAACCGACTCTTCTGGAGAGTTTACGCAATCTCTACTGTCTTGCAAGTCTGGTGGAAGGACCCTTCGGTGCTATAGCCCTGCATTTCTAGTTGACCGGGTTTATGTGTTCAATTGGTATCTTCAACCCGCTTGCCTGTTAACTGAACGATATTTTAGGCCCGCCGTAGTTTTGGTCTGGATACCGAATTTGCCAAGACGTGTGCGGTCTCACACAGGAGTCGGAAGATAATATTTCGAAAACTTCCGTGCCGGTGCCCGACTCCAGCACGGGGCAAGCGCTGGCTGTATAAACCCTGAGCTCGTACGCCGGCCTCCTCCTCGCCGGGAGCCGATTTCCCTTCCTTCCTCCGCTCCGGCGCCTGGAGCCCCTCCCGCCCCTCCTTCTTCACTGACCTGGGTGTCTGCAGAGCTGTTCCTCTTGCATATTCTCGCTCCTCTCTCCAGCTGCAAACGCTGCCTACCCATTTATTTCCCCTTGTTAAATATGTTATCCCGGAGGTGCCACCACCGTCAGGCTCCCCCCACCGTCGGCCTCGGCCAGTGGCAGGGTCCGTCTCGGAGCCGGCTGGCACCGGCCCTACTGGACACGGGGGAAGTTTCTAGCAGCTGCTCACAGAAGCCACCCCTGCAACTCCAACGCTACCAAAACCTTGCCACGCAAACCCAGTACGGGGGCTTTCTTGGTTTTCACCGAAAAGGGCCCTCCTCACCGCTCCAAAAGGCAGCGGTTTTGGAATTGGAGTTCCAGTCTCTGTTTTGTTATCGTGAAGGGGACCCCTCTCTGCAGCATGACTGATTTTTGATTCCTCCTTTAACCTCTTCAGCACTGACGTCATATAAATTCAAGGCATGCTTTTTTACATCCCAAAGACAAAACAATTATATACTTTTTTTTATATTAGTTACACAAATAATCTCATGCTGATTTCCTTTCTCTGATGTCAGATCATGCTGCCGCGTTTGAATCGGTGGCTGATTTAGATACCGGCCCGTGGGGAAGTTTTTGCAAGAATAGGAAAAGGAAGCGTGCGTAATGGATTTTCATTTTTAAGAAAATAGTACTAGAGACCATGCTGTTACTTGTAAGCGTGCAGGGTAAAGCCAAACCAGCCTTCTCGCCTCCTCCCCTGAACAAACCAACCAAAAACTTGTAGTCACATGAAAATATTTGAATTTTGCATCCCTGCAATAGTCCGGGCTACGCAGTGAAAACAAATCCAAATTTACTGAAAGACTATCTTAAGGGATTTCCCGCTTGAAGGAAAAGCGACCGTATAGCCCTGGCGATGCGTGCCGTAGCGCAGCACAGCTGGATCAGCTGACAGCTTCTGACGTGACAATCTCAATAACTTTTTCTGTTTCAAATCTCGCTTATCTTGTAAGGTCTTCTACATATAACTCATCTTTTAACTTCCTTTTCGGTGACCTTTCTAAGTTACGTGCAAGGATGGGAAAATGGTGTCTGCTAAGGCTGCAGAAAAGTACTCTGCTGCTCAGGGAGGTCTTCGTTTCGCTACGGCTTAAGTTGCTCTTGGGATCGTATTACGGGGTGGGTTTTTTGTGGACGTGTATTACGTGTTTAAAAAAATCAGAACAGCGGAAGAATCAAACTACTCATGCTCTGTTTTGTGTGAAGGGTTAAGTTTTGCTGGAAAAAAGCCCTTAAATTTTTAAATGTACTTGGTACTAATCGAGATTTTTAAAAAGGCAAAAAAGATTCCCTTTGACAGTAATTTTTACGTGAAGTGCCTATTTTTTCTCTGGTCCCCTTCCTTCCGCCCCAGGAGAGCTCACGGCTTCGCAGCTGAAAGCACAAGCATATATCACCAGGTATACCCCTTGGCAGCCCGGCTCTTTGTGTTTTAATTTCGTGTACCGTGTCGCGGTGAAAAGGGCTTAAGAAATACGGAGAGTTTAGACGGCTTAGGTGGATCTCTGTATCGGTTCATCTAGTGGGCAGGGCCGTAATAGCGATCTATTTCAGAAATTACTATTATGTGAAAGCTGGGAGCGATTCTCCATCAGGAAAGCTGTCAGCGGGTGCGTCTGTAAGCCCGAACGGGGACGTGTATACGGAGATACAGGCTACGGCTGGCAATCTCTGTCAGCCACCGGAGCGAAGACCCCTGGATATTAAATTTTTTGTACCCAGGACAGATTTGCTAATTAGCATTTTGTTACGACGACAAAACCCACCTTTGGCGATCGGCTTCCTAGACGGTGTTTCCCTGCTGGCAGCCTCTTTATTATTCTATTTTTTTTCTTTTCTCTCCTTTTTTGCGTCACCAAAGCTTTAAAGATTACTAAGGCAGATATTAGTTTCCAGCTGGCATTAGGCGGATAATAACTCTTCGCTCCTTTCATAATGGGGTAATTCATTTGCCTTTTTTATTTCAAGCTTCCCGAAAGCTGCATCCTCACTTCCTAACACAATAGGAGAAAAGAAAAAGATGAAGGCGGTGTCAGACCTGAAATTTCATACTTTTTTTTATAAGCTTGTGCGGGCCGATGAACGCGCCATCGGCATCCCGACCTTCGGGTGATTCACCAAAGCGATATAAAAGCAAGGTCTCGACGGCTAACGCCCTCGGGCTTTTTATGGTGTCGGTGTAACAGCCAAGAAACGAGCAACTACCGAGTAAACGGGTACGCGCGTTTCGTCACCGCACGGCGGGTTGAATTCAAAATAGGCGGTTCTCTTTCTAGGCGGTCTGGCGTTATAGCTGCAGGTGCTACGGCCAAATTACGCAGATGCAAGGGGGAAACGTTGTTTAGGAAGCGGCTGAAGAAATAGGTTATCTTTGCGAGTAAGAGCCTGACCGAGCTCCTATTTAAATCAAGACGGTAATATTTTGGTTTCATAGCAGGTCTATAGCGTAATATCCTGGGGCGGGGAAACGCGCTCGCTCTCTCGCAGTCGACTCTCAACTTGGTTTTCCAGTCTCCCGTTTGCCGTCTTCTCTACTTAGAAGCTGCGCCGTGGCTCGTCGCTACCTGACCTTTAAGCACGTAGCTTCCTTGCAAGGGGAGAGCGGGATGCCTTGCTGCCGACGCACATCCACGGGGTCAGCAGCCGCTGCAAGCGCTTTGACGGATGCGAACCACGTGCTAGGTTATTTCTTCTCCTCTTGCGAGGAACTGGCTTTTGCGGGGAAGTCCTTCCCTGGTCGTAATTCGAGAGCTGCGAAGCAGCTCGCAGATTGAGAGAGAAGGTGCAGACGGGTCCTCCCCAGCGGGCCAAAAGTTAGGGCGAAACACACAGGGAGAGCGCGGAGGAATATCCACTTCCATTGCACAGAGATGTCCGTTTGTGGCATAAAAAGCCCCGTGTGAAGCTGCAGAAGGGGGAGGAGGTAAAACGGCATTTAGGATACGTGCAGCCCCCTCGAACTGACGTAGCTTCGTCGAGCCGCTGGCTGTTGTAGCGTGTTTCGGTAGATGCAAAAAGACCGCTAGCGTAAGTTAGCGGTTTAACACCTCTAAAAACATTGTTTAGCGGGGAGAAGGCCAGTTTTGGCTTGCGACGCGGTCGGATGTAGCGTGCCCGAGGCTAACGACATCG